AGCAATGGGATCGCAAGCCTCGGTGTTGCTCCCACGCCTCGCTCAGCCAGTGAGTGGGAGCCGGTCTGTATGTGGGATCCGAACCCTCGGACGGGAGCGCCGCCGCGCTTCCCAAGCGGCGCACTATCCAGTGCGCCACCGGGCCGGCCCCAGAGTACTTCTTGAATCTTCTGTTTCCATTGCTGTCCCTGGAGTGGAACGTGATTCTTAGCAGAATCCTGGACCTTTCTTTCTATCCCCTCTAGGCCTCTGTTCTTCCTGGCACATGCATGTCTAGATAATACTGTTTTTACCTGTAGGTAGGCAGTTTCCATGGTTCTCATCACCACTTGGCATCACATTAGAGATAGGATCAGTGATCTCATAAGCAGTGACAATACACTAGTTTTCATTTTACTCCAGATCCTGTGAAATAATATGTCTAAATATTATTCTGTTCTTTAATATGTTGATCTAAAACTAACTTTGCAGTTATGATCATTTAACCATTAAATATTAATATAACCATTATTAAATATTTAGCCATTATCTGTTTCCTTAAAGTGTGTAAGTGCTTTGGCGGGGGAGGGCAGTTATCTACTGTGATTTCAGTGATCCAGTTTCTAAAAACAAAAGGAAATTGTCCAGGAGATTTAAATTAATATATCCTTTTCTTCTTAAGTTTCCCTGTAGCATTAATCAATCTGTGGTCCTTCGAGCTTCCTCAAATTATGATAGCCATTTTCCTGGTCTATTTGTAGCTAGCCATCAGTGTTTCCTTTTTCATTGAAAAAAGCTACAGCTAATTACTGTACACAGTTCTTAACATGGGCCTTGGCCAAGGAGTTAATAACTCAGCATGTTGTGAAGAGTTGGGAGCTACAGACCTGTTATACCACTGCCTGTTCTCAGTGACAAGTCAAAGAAGAGAAGGAGTGTGGAGAAAGGAGAAAGGAGGGGCCTCGGAAAGTGTGAGGCTGCCATAGGCTTTGCTGAGTGTAACCCATCTTTCCTACACTGGAAACTGCTTATCCACAAGTGAGCAGCTAGTGCTTGCTGAAGAGCTGACTACTGGGTAGTGTAGTAAGTATAGAACAATGAACATAATGTACAGAAAATTGGGTGGGGTCCAGAAAACTGTGAATTAAAGCCAGGCTTGTTGAAAAAAAAAAAATCCCTAATTAATATGGGTTTTAAAAATTAACTTCTTGTCTTTGAGTTACTAGTTCTACCTCAAAATCAGTCTTCAGGACATTCAAAAGTTCTTCCTATTACAAAGGAAGTATGAGAGTCAAATCTACTCTTGAGTTTAAAACAAAATAAAAGGAATAAGACTCATGGTTAGCATATTAAGCACGATCACTGTGTCCCAGCTTATTTTTATGAGTTTGTGGGTAGTTATTAGGAAGTTTGCATAGCTGCTGTTGGTCATATGCATTCTCTTGGTTCAGTGGCTTTTAAATTCCTGACAATCTTCTGGAAATTGAGAACAGGAGTTATTGAGTGCAGAATGATTAAAACCCCCAACTCAGTGTTGTTCCTGCCTCTTCCCTTAATGCGTAAATAGGCTAGGGCAGGATAGTAGTGTTGGAGGTGGAGGTGGGGTTTGTGTGTTTTAGGATTTGAATTAAAGGCCTAATTGCCTTCACTATTGAAAAGAAAGACTGGGTTACCCATAGAGAGTAAAAATCTATCAGAAGTTCTCCTTTCCAGGTCACCAGGACTTGACTAGCATGTACCTCGCTAGCATCTTCCCTAATGAAAAGAGAACTCCCCCCGCCCAAGTGTAGTTCTGAAGTATGTTTTATAGAAATTATGATTAATAGCTTATTCACATTACTAACCTGGCTCAATGGGCCTGTGATTGTGTATGCAAATAGGCTGGCGTGCGGTATTGTTTCTGCATACCCATGGCTGTACCTGTTATGTGTAATTAGGACGCCTGGTTTGGTTCAAATTAAAGAATGAGTTAGCTAATCCTATGAGGTCTCCAGAAACTTGAAATTGTGGTCTTTCATCTCTCTTCACATTGTTTCCCTTTGACAAAAGCCTGGAAGACTGAGGTCTGGTAGAGGCAACAAAGACTCTTGCTTCTGTAATTGGACTGGGCACTTGTGTAGTTAGAAATGACCTATATATTTGTTACAACAGAGAGTTTCAATGCAGAATAAAGAGACTGCCTCTCAACTCCCTGTTTTTCATTGATAGTTAAGATTGTTGGATTCCCAAAAGGCAGCATCAAGTAGATCAATCCAAGATAGTATCACTTGAATATATACATAAGTGGACACTTAAGGCAACTCATTCTGTTGAGGACACCAAAACTCAGTAATTCTCCTCATTACCTTTAACTGGCTCTAGAGTAATGTGATCAGTGTCCTTATGCTGGCTCACCTACTGTCCCTCCTTCCTCTCTCTTCTCCCCCGCCCCTTTCTCACCTACCCTATTAGGTTATGTGGTAGCTATCCACAAGAGCTCATAGTGCCTGCCTGGATCACTGACAAAGAACTAGAAAGTGTAGCAAGCTTCAGGTCCTGGAAGCGCATCCCAGCTGTCATCTACAGGTAAGTAAGCCAGGCCAGCCCCAGTGTGGGCTCGTGCTACTGCCTGCTGCATGTGGTCTGCTGTCTCTGCTGCTGCTAACCTGGGAAGGCAGGGGAGGGTTCAGAGAACTTTCCAGGCAAGTCTGCTTCCTTATTGCTAAAGCTGCTCTTCCAGTAACACATGGGTATTCACTGCATCCACACTGCTAGCTGGTGGTTCAATGGACACTGATAAGAAAATTTTAATAGAAAAGTGAGTGGACTTGCTCTTTCAAGATCCTTGTTACATTATTGCATTTAGCTTTAGATGTTAGCAAGGCTTTTGGATTGAGAGAGATGAGTCCGAGAAAGTGAGAAATTGGGTGGATAGAGTTGAATCATCTGTGATTGTCTTTGTGGCTGAAACTTCGACATGTAGAAGAACTCCATTTTGAGAGGGAGAAGAAGGCTGGGGCTTGGCTGTATAGAGGATTGCATGAAAGCCAAGGGATGCAAGTTTCAGGAGGGAATGGTGGGGTGGTGGCATGGTGACAGAGTGCAGGTTTTTGGAATCACTGACCTGAGTTCAAGTCTCTTCTGACACTCCTTGTTATGGTACTTTGTTTCCTAACTGACCTCAGTCTGTTCCTAATGAGTAAAATGGAAACGATAGTTCTTACTTTGCAAATTGGCTGTGACATCTGAATGAAGGTCTATAAACACTGGGCTTCTCTAAGCAACGTTTGGAGTAGGTTGTATCCATGAGCACCACTTTTATAATTCAGTGAATATCTCAGTTCTCACAGAATTATGTTAAATTTTTAAGAAACCATTTATTCTTATTCTGGAACTGTTTCAGGTGTCTTCTCCTTGTAATGTTCACATTCTCCATTTCATTTTCCCAGTTTGAAGACTTTTTGGATTCTCCTTGAGTTGGGCAAAATCAGTGGCTTAATTAGACACTCCTGCCATGAAGCATTCCACTGAGATATTGAGGTTGTAGGAAGGGATTTCTCTCCTTTTGGAATTCCCACGAGGTAACCAGCTTGTTCATTTAGTTCACTGAAGGCAAATTCTGATGCCCACCCTGAATAGAGAGAGTTGGAAAACTATTTGCTCCAGCCCAGTGGAACCCATTAAGTTTTCAATCTCAATTTTCATCACTTTTGTTTTCAAACACCCCTAGAAAAGTAGGTCGCCAAATTTACCTGTCACTCAAGTGGTAAGGATGACACTGGAATTAGAGAGCAGTGAAAGCAGAAGGGATTTATGAGTCTTATCAATGATCAGCCCAGCTGGAATGGGGAAAGCAGCCAGTTGCTGCTCTGGCCAACAGCTGTGTTAGATCAGCAGCCCTGGCATTTGTGGGGTTTGCTGACTTTGAACATAAGGGGAAAGTACTCTCATTTTTGAAGTAAGAAGCGTTAGGACTGTAGGTGAATTCTTTTTTTTTTCCTTTTTGTCTTTTTTACTGACTGGTACGGGATCGCAACCCTCGGTGTCGCGCCCGTACCGGGGACTGGCAACGGGATCGCAACACTCGGTGTTGCGCCCGCGCCGCGCTCAGCCAGTGAGCGGGAACCGGTCACCACATGGGATCCGAACCCTTGGCGGCGCTCGCGCTCCCAAGCGGCGCACTCTCCAGTGCACCACTGGGCCAGCCCTGAATTCTCCCTTTTTGGCAGAAAAGTCTAACAGTGCTGAAGAAAAACAATGTTGAAGAAAAACGTCTTAGACTATAATAAAAATAGGAAGCCCTTTTTTTCCTTTTAAAATTTATTCTTGAAGGCATGAGCCCTAGGGTTTTTTCCCCTTTCTAGGGACCCCGTAGTATAAATAAATGAAAGTTTTTACTTGTAATTTTTCAGAGAAAATCTGCCCTCAAACGATTATTGAATAAAAGTTCTTGGTGTAGTCCATGTAAAATCAGACAGGCTTTCTGGAACTGGTCTCTGTCTCAGAACATGTGTCTTATATTTGAGCTCTAAACTGGATTGCTGTATTATTTGGGAGCTTTGCAAAGGGTATGTCAAAGAATGTCTGAGACACTCTACCACTCTGTACCTTGCCAGCCTAGGTGGCAAAATGCCTCTGAATCCGACATACATATACTGAATTTAGTTGTCTGTGGACTGCAGTAATGATTCCTGAAGTTGCTAGCAGCAGCTACTTGACAGCACCACACTGAACCAGCGTCTCATTAGAGCTTTCTCCTACTGTGATGAGAGAGCACTTAATTGGATTTATTACTGAAGGCAGAGATTGCTCTAACACAGCAAGATGGTGCAAGGGGTGCCCATCAGTGGTGCAATTCACAGCTCCCCCTTTGTGCATACAGTTATTATTAGAAACTCCTAGTTATTTGGGGAGCTTGCCTAATTCTAATTTAGGAATAGTTAAAACAGTGATATGTTTCTATGTATAATTTAAGCTTTCAGCGTTTTAGTAGGAGGCTCACCCATTGGACATCTTAATTTTTATACTGTTCTTGATTCTGTTTGTTAAAATGATAGAAATGCTTATCTTTAGTAATTCTTAACTGTAGTGTTTGAGTTATCTTTAATGCAGTCTAAAGCATTTTAGATAACTGCAGAAAACATAACTGCTTATTGCAATAGCCCAGTTGAAACCTAGCTATTGTAATGCCAGTGGCCCTTAATACCCAAGACCGGGTCTGAAGAGTGCCATCTACTGTTCCTCTTGGGCACTGTTGGCAAGTGTTGCAGAGGAAGAGGATGCTCAGCAAAGGCCTCACCAGCCTCTTCTGTGAAGGTCTGGAGTCATTACCAAACGACTGTAATAGGCACAGTGTTACCCAGTGCCTATTGTTTGCTAAGAGACATTTTAAGAATCATTGAGGTTTTATTTCCAGTTTGGCTCCTTTTAGCACGTCAGCCAATTGAGCATGTTGGCAATACACAGGTACTTTCAGCTTTGTCTCTTCCGGAGAGGGAGGATTTAAAAACTGTGAGCAAACTGTGGTTCCATTGGAATTTGCTTATTGCCAGATTTATTGCTTGTGAGCTTTAGGATTAAAACAAAAATTTTTCTCATACTGTTCCCTAAAGAAGACAGATTCAGCAGTATATTTTATTTAAACCCATCTGTGTCGTACGTATGTCTTTATGTGTATGCATATGTGTTTAGAAATAATTTTAAAGGAAAATAAGACATGGACAGTTTCCTTTGTGATTTGGAATTGAAGACATTTAAGTATTTTGCTTACTAGCTTTTTATTATGATCATTTAGTTTTACAGTAAACTGATTACTTTTATAACTTAAAAAAAAGCTTTATCGGGCCGAGCCCGTGGCGCACTCGGGAGAGTGTGGCGCTGGGAGCGCAGTGGTGCTCCCGCTGCGGGTTCGGATCCTATATAGGGATGACCGGTGCACTCACAGCGCTCACTGGCTGAGCGCGGTGCAGCCGGTCTCAAAAAGGACAAAAAAAAAAAAAAAAAAAAAAAAGCTTTATCGAGATACGCCACATATAATTCACCTTTTTTGGGGGGGAGGGGGAGGGTGTTTCAGTTGTCAGTATGGTGTTCTAAACCCTTGACATTTGTGTTATAATCCCGTGCTCTAACCAACTGAGCTAACCAGCCAGCCAGCCCTATTATTCACTCTTTTAAAGTGTACAACTCAGTGACTTTTAGTATATTCAGAGTTGTACAACCATTTTTAAAATCACTTTTAGTACATTTTCATCACCCCAAAAAGAAATGGCATACTCATTAGCAGTCACTCTTCATTGTCTCCCCAACTCCCCTAGCCCTGGGTAACCAGTAGTGTACTTTCTGTCCCTATAAGTTTGCCTATTCTGGACACTTCATATAAATGGAATCATACAATATGGGTCCTATTGTGACTGGCTTCTTTCACTTAGTGTAATATATTCAATGTTCATCATTGTTGTAGCATGTATCAGAACTTTATTCCTTTTCATTGCCAGTCAATGTAATTTTTCTGAATTTTTAATTGTTAAAATTGCCTAATTAGGAAAAGCTTGGGTTTCAATAGCATCTTTTTTTTTTTCCTTTTTTCCTTTTTGTCTTTTTTCGTGACCGGCAACGGATCGCAACCCTCAGTGTCGCGCCCATACCGGACCGGGACCGGCAATGGGATCGCAACCCTCGGTGTCGCGCCCGCACCTCGCTCAGCCAGTGAGCGGCCGGTCTGTATGTGGGATCCGAACCCTCGGCGGGAGCGCCGCCGCACCCCCAAGCGGCGCACTGTAGCAGTGCACCACTGGGCCGGCCCTCAATAGCATCTTAAAATAGACTTACGAGTATGATTTCTGGTGTGTCTTCTAGAAAAAGGGTCTATCAGAGTGTGGTTTGCTGATGTAGATGCTACTCCTTTCCTTCTAAGAGCCTGAGGCAGGATAGCTGGCTCATTGAGCTTTCTGCCTATAATAAGAGCAATTTGTGACTCATGAAATCTCAGAAGGTTTTGTAAAGCAATCCACTGTGATCCAGGTAAGTGTTTCAGTCCTGAAGGTGGGGCTGCAGTGAACCTTTAGAAGTCAGTGAGGCAACACATTTTTTTCTATTTCAGCATCTATTATGCCAGGGTATTCAGGTTCATTATTAAAAAGGAGGGATTAATACTTTGTTACTGGGTAGTAGACTTAGTGTAGTATTTGTAGATTTTATTTTTAGGCTCAAACATTTACATTATGAGTGTTAATTTTTTCTAAGGGTACACATTTATCATTTTGATGGTAACTTTACAAAGGTGTCTATGATGGTATGAGAATTGAGAAAGATACACGTAGGTTTTGTTATTTTTCTTGTTGGTGTATAAGATTTCTGCTCTTGTTAATGTTGAGGGGACTCAAAGCTAACCCAATACCTAGATTCAGGCTGTTCATTCAGGCACTAAAAATCCACTACCTTTCTTTTTGTGTGAGTACAGAGCATCTGAACAGGGTTCCCTGAGATCGTACAGTTGTCTCTTGTTCCCTGCACAGGCACCAGAGCAATGGAGCTGTAATTGCCCGCTGTGGGCAGCCGGAGGTCAGCTGGTGGGGCTGGCGCAATGCAGATGATGAGCACCTGGTACAGTCAGTAGCCAAAGCTTGTGCTTCCGACTCCCGATCCAGTGGCAGCAAGCTGTCAACTAGAAACAGTTCTCGAGACTTTCCCAATGGAGGAGACCTTTCTGATGTGGAGTTTGGTAAGGTGCTCCCTGCACCCACAGCAGCAATTTGTATAGATCTGAGACCCTTTTCTTGAAATGGCCTTTTCCGTAGAAGACATAGAGTTAGTTTTTAGAAGAGAGAGTCAAGCTTCACTTGATGGGATTGTTTGGGTAGTCATGGGTCTTGGTAGAGAACCAGAAGACCCTTTATTTCAAATGTGGTTTAAGAGACTCTAGTCTTGTTGTCTTTCTTGCCATCATGAAAGGAATGCAGTGTATACGTGATAGGGGATTTGCAGTGTCTCCAGACCATAGGGGGAAATACCAGTCTTCATGAAAGGACTACAGATGTAGAAGTGTGGTGTAGGAGATTGGGCTGTGTGGATCCCCATATGTGTTTTGGGAGTTGGTTTTGGAAAATAAATTTTCATCAACTTTTATAAGAAGGCAAAATAGAAAATAAACTGGAAGGAGAAGTCCTGTGTAGCAAGGGTTCTGGTTAGGAGGTTTCATTTAATTGAGCTTTTTAAATACTGTTAATACATGCCTGCAGTTCTAATTTGTGCAGTTGGGAGAGATAGGTTTATTTAATCCCTTTCCCCCCTCCCCCATGTCCCTAGATTCTTCTCTGTCAAATGCTTCAGGAGCAGAGAGTTTAGCCATCCAACCACAGAAGCTTTTGATCTTGGATGCACGTTCCTATGCAGCAGCTGTGGCAAACCGAGCCAAGGGAGGAGGCTGTGAATGCCCAGGTGAGGTGTATGTGCTTTGTTCTGCAATACTCTGTTCTTGTGAGTCCAGCCCATGCCCAGCTGAGACTTAGCTCTCAATTTGAGTGAGTGGCAAGCCATATTCTCCAAACTGTCTGGAGAGAGCCAGAGCATCTCTTTAGATTTTCAACACTGTGTGTTCTTTCCTGAGGAGAAATGGAGGAGGTGCAGTGAAGCCAAATAATCTTCCTCCCCTGTGCCAACCTTTTTTTTTTTTTTCCCTTTTTGTCTTTTTTCGTGACCGGCAACGGATCGCAACCCTCAGTGTTGCGCCCGTACTGGGCCGGGACCGGCAACGGGATTGCAACCCTTGGTGTTGCGCCCGCACCTCGCTCAGCCAGTGAGCGGCCGGTCTGTACGTGGGATCCGAACCCTCGGCGGGAGCGCCGCCACACTCCCAAGCGGCGCACTGTAGCAGTGCGCCACCGGGCCGGCCCCAGCCCTGTGCCAACCTTTAGGTGATAAGGAAAGCACATCTCCATAGTAAGGCTTGTTCATTTCTGGAAGCTGCTGCATTAGTGGTTCAATTTCTCAGCCTTCTGAAAGATTTTTGCCTTTGACAGTGGGTATGCTCATCACTGGCCTAGCAGACTCCTCACAGGGCTTCTACTTAGAAAACTTGGGGTGGAAATTGAAACAGTAAATACAGAACTGTAGCAAGTTTCCTCTGTCCTGACATGTAATTCCCCTACCATTAGAATGCTGGCTTTCCCCAAGGAGAGACCACCTCAATGCAAGTTATGTGCCGATGAAGTAGGCAGAGGCACCATTTCCTTATTCAGATGTGATCCGAGCTGGAAATTGAAAGCAGGTGTACCAAGGTGAAATTTGAATGCATGAGGGCATTGTTCTGCCAAGTTTTTTCTTTTTAGTATCTTCTTTACAAATCTAACCTTTTTTTTTTACCCTTTTCGCAAAGACAGCTAAAATTCAAGCACCGTTTTTCCTCTTATAGTAAAGCGCTGGTCTAGTAGTTTCAGCATCAAAACATTGCAGTTTCATTAGTCAGCAGCTGCAGTGAGTTTGTTTTATAGCTAGCTTGCTGCTTTTAAATTTGGTCATGTGGCCTTTAAATTCAACATATTTGTGTTCTTTTTATTGTTGTTCTCTCCAGAGTATTACCCGAACTGTGAAGTTGTATTCATGGGGATGGCAAACATTCATTCTATTCGGAGGAGTTTTCAGTCTCTGCGGTTGCTGTGCACACAGATGCCAGACCCGGGAAAGTAAGACCTTGGCCTTGGCTTCCATTTTGCATTGCTCTTTTTTAAAAAAATGAGTTTTGGAGGTATCTTTCCTTCATTTTCTTGGTAAACTTCAGCTATACTTTCAGTCGCTTGTGGGTGTTCATTCTCCTTCCTGGGTCAGGAGCATGGCAGTACAGAGGAGGAGCTGGAAGAAAAATCCAGCCATTTGAAAAGTTTTAAAATGTGCAGCACAGGAAAAAATCTCAGCTTTCAAAACAGAAGCATCACCTTCTTGTGTTTCCTGGCGTCTCTCTTTTCTCTTCCACATTGTTTTTGGCCCAAAGCAATTTAATTCTTTGGTTTCTGATGTCCTATAGTGGCACTTGTCTGCTACAAACTGGGGTGTTTTACCATGAAGAGTCATAATTTATTCATCCTGTTCTAAACGGTTAAACTTGTCATCAGGTCAGTTCCTTTTATATCTGCATTTGATTTCTTAACTACTCTCTCTTATTAAGAACATTATCATGATTTTTATTGCTTATTAAAAATGAATGGCTGGCATTCGCAGGGAAGAAGGTGAAATAATACCCCCTCCAAGGGTACTATTTGAATACAAGATAATTTAGGAGAATGCTCTGTAAAACAAATATGGACAGATAAATATTTAAAAGCCCCTATTTTGCTGTTTCAGGAAGCCAGAGATGATGCCAGAGAAGACAATTTTCTTTTTTCTGGTGTTTGTGCTGGAGCTCATAGTTGTTTTCTTGGGCACTCAGTAGATCTCAGGATCACATCAAGTTTTGCTGCATTCTTTAATTTATTAAATCAGATGCTGCCTGATCCACTTATGACTCCTGGTAGCAAATGATTAAATTCATCACAGTTGCAATCAGCCCAGGGGGTGAAGTAGTATCCTTTGGGGAAAACCTGACCAAAGAAAGAAGAAACAAGCTTGCTGCTTTCTTTTGGGGATTAGCCATTTGCTTCTGCCAGATAGTTCCAGGATCCTGCTAGCATCACTCTCTCCCTGAGGTGGAGTGTAGAAGGAGCCTGGCTGAGGACTCAGGAGATCTGCCATGAACTGACTGTGTGACCTTGGCTAGGTGGCTTAATTCTGTGTGGGTCTGAGTTTTCCTGTCTATAAAATTAAAGGAAAGGAATAAGTACTACATGATCTCTAATACCTTCCATATATTAAAATTCTTTCTTAAAAAGCTAGGAAACGGAGGCAGAAAAATGTTAAGTCACTTTCTCTTTTGTTTTTTGTCTTTTTCCGTGTCCGGCAATGGATCGCAACCCTCAGTGTTGCCCCTGTACCGGGCCAGGGACCGGCAACGGATCGCAACCCTCGGCGTTGCCCCCGTGCCTCGCTCAGCCAGTGAGCGGGAACCGGTCTGTATGTGGGATCCGAACCCTCGGGTGGGAGCGCCGCCGCGCTTCCCAAGCGGTGCACTATCCAGTGCGCCACCGGGCCGGCCCTTAAAAAGCTATTTTTGAAACTCAGTCAAAAGGATGTAATTAGCCCTCACCTGTCTAGATGAATGTTTGGGTGATTTTGTTGAAGAAGGTAATGTCTGTATTCAGCAAATAAATCGTAATGCAGTATTGAAGACTCCCTTGTGGCTAAAAAGGAGCTATGGCAGTGATAAGACAGTATAAGTAAGCCCCTGACATTTGTTTGGGGCTGTGGAGAGCTAGGGGATGGTATGCTTCTATTTCAGTCTGAGAATAGGACAAGGAAGTGTGGAATCTATCAGCACCTCTTTGGCTGGCACATTTTGGAGTGTAGCTTCTCTTAGTCAGGGACAACACCAACTGGTATTTAATAATCGTTCAGTCAGGTTCAAGAGAACCTTACATTGGTTCTCTCATTTGCTATCCCTTCTTCAGGGGCCAAGAGATAATTTACTATTTCTCCCCTAAGCTTTAACTTGTAGTTTCTTTCAAGACTATGTGGGGAATGAGCAGAATACACAATTGATCTATTAGGAAAAAATCTTTTTTAGCTATCTACTAGGAGGTAGAAAGTCTTTTTTTTTTTTTTTTTGTCTTTTTTCGTGTCCGGCAACGGATCGCAACCCTCGGTGTCGCGCCCGCACCAGTCTTTTTTGTCTTTTTTCGTGTCCGGCAACGGATCGCAACCCTCGGTGTCGCGCCCGCACCAGTCTTTTTTGTCTTTTTTCGTGTCCGGCAACGGATCGCAACCCTCGGTGTCGCGCCCGCACCAGTCTTTTTTGTCTTTTTTCGTGTCCGGCAACGGATCGCAACCCTCGGTGTCGCGCCCGCACCAGTCTTTTTTGTCTTTTTTCGTGTCCGGCAACGGATCGCAACCCTCAGTGTCGCGCCCATACTGGACCGGGACCGGCAACGGGATCGCAACCCTCGGTGTTGCACCCACACCTCGCTCAGGTGAGCGGGAACCGGTCTGTATGTGGGATCCGAACCCTCGGCTGCGGGAGCGCCGTCGCGCTTCCAAGCGGCGCACTGTAGCAGTGCGCCACCGGGCCGGCCCCTGAAAGTCTTGAGATTGGATTTTTACCCAAGACAGATTTACAGTTCTTTAGACAGTAGGACTCCTTACTGTATGCTAGGCACTGTGCTGGGGGACAGCTGTGATTGAGACAAAGTGTCAGCTCCCTGAGGAGTCATGGTCTGGTTGGTAGACCAAACTAATTCATATGAAACCAGTGTTTATGCACTATATTCTGTTGTCTGTTTGCATGGAAAGACTCCCTCAGACTATTCCAAAAATTCATATTCATTTCTCAAGGTTTAGTAGGCCTTTATAGCCTAGTCTTGGCAGTGCTTTCTTAGTGTCCCCTGATGAGTATTCCTTTTTCTGACTCAGTGTTTGAAGGGCTGGACTTGTGGTCTTAGGTACGAACTTGATCATTTTTGAGAAAAATCAGAACTCTTTTTGGGGATTGCGGAGGGGGGGATGGAGCACAAGAAACAAAATGTCAGCCCAATTAAAAACAGATGTGATCAGCTTATGATTACTCCCAAGTGGTAGTTCTTGCTATCTGATACTCCTGAAGGTCTATTAAAAAAAGATTCTAGATCCTCGCTGAATCTAGTCTGTGTTAAACCCGGCAATACTCCATGGCCATTGATGTACTAATTTGCATAAGTCTAAATCATCCTATTGGGCCCATCTAGTTTTAGTCAGTAAACATTTAAGACTTGAACAGTGGTAGGTGTTAAGAGTGTGGGTAATAGGTGATGTTGTCTGTGTCATTCTTGCACATGGCATCCAGCTTACATCTTATTATAGACATAATTGTATTTATGAGTTTACTTTTTGAGAATGTGTTGAGCAGAGTTGCTGATCATTAAATATAAATAACTTCTGTTCTACATCTCAGAAGTGGCTGCATTTCCTTCAGGAGAAGATTCAGAAAGCCACTTATAATGAGTATACCTACCATGGACTGAAAAAATTGAAATATTTTCTCCGGGGAATTATCCATAAAGATTTTGGAATAAAAGGTGGCCCTGTTAATTACAGTCACTATTTCTAAGGCTCTCTTTTGCATAGTAGGGCTTCAGTCTCATCCTTGGACATGCTGTATAAACACACAGATTTTCTGTTTGTTTTGGCAGTGTTATATCTGGAGAAAAGTATCTTTGGAAATTGCTTTTTAATTTGATAGGCTGGGGCACGATGCAGTAAATCATACAAATCAGCATCTCCTTATCCCCTCCTGTTTTTATAGTTGGCTCTCAGCTCTTGAAAGCACAAAATGGCTCCATCACCTGTCTGTGCTTCTGAAATCGGCACTTCTGGTAGTACATGCTGTGGATCGTGATCAGCGCCCAGTGCTAGTGCACTGTTCAGACGGCTGGGACCGCACCCCCCAGATTGTGGCGTTGGCTAAGCTCTTACTGGACCCTTATTACCGAACCATAGAGGTGAGTGCATCCAAAAAGTAGGAGCTGCTCCTTCAGGATAAGTGGCGGAAACCTCTCTGAGGATTTTATAATTAGTTTCAGGGGTGGTAATTAAGTCTAAAGAAAGTGGAATTTTTTAGTGTTTAATCATTGCTCCTTTACCTTGAGCCAGATTGTGGTGATGCCTACCACAGTTCTTGTACCCCTTAAAATGCGGCAGACTGTGAGTAATAAGATATCAAGAATACAGACATGTTTTCCTTTGCAGCCTATTATGCTGGAAAAGTTACGGCCACTCCAGGAAGATGGTGCTTCTGTAAAGGGATCTTGGCATGCTTATTATGATAATGGGTCTAGCTATTACCACAGAGTGTTCTGTGGAGAAGAAGCCCTACTCTGAAACAACTACTTGTTGGGTTAAAAATGTAAGAAAAGCCATAAAGCACCCTAAAACATATGTGAATATTTGTAAAATCTGGGTTAGAGAAGGATTTTTAGAAACATGACTTTGTAAATATAACACCAAAGGCAGAAATTTAAAAATAAACTTAGGAAATAAAGTATGCCTTTCATATAGTGAATGAAAGAGGCTAAAAATATAAACAGACTCAAGAAAGGCTTAGATAAATGCATAGTTAGTACCCTTTCAAAGATTATGGAATGGAGTACAGGGAATTAGGACATTTCCGTAAACATGTGTGTCCCATCAGGGATAGAGCCTTCAACTGTGAGGCTGGGCCAGACCAGCTTACTGGGAGGCTGTTAAAAGGGACTGCTGTCGGTGACACCAGGCTCAGGTCTGTCACAGTCTGTATAGTCCAGCACAAATGGTCTCTTCTGGGTACTTCCCTGCAGGGTTTCCAGGTCCTTGTGGAAATGGAGTGGCTGGATTTTGGCCATAAATTTGCTGACCGGTGTGGTCATGGGGAGAACTCGGATGATCTGAACGAGCGTTGCCCAGTGTTTCTGCAGTGGCTTGACTGCGTTCATCAGCTTCAGAGGCAATTTCCTTGCTCTTTTGAGTTCAATGAAGCATTCCTTGTGAGTTTGGGCTTGTGGTTCTTCATTTTGGGAAACTTTTAAATTCAGGGGGTTGTCAATGCAAACATTTGTGGGCCAATTTTGACATGAAACTTCAGCCTTTTTAGAATTTAACAGAGGGGTGATTGTTTTCTCTCATTCTTATTTAAAAACAATAGTAAACAGGCATTTGTTTACTCTGTGAATCCAGGTGTACTAGGTGTGCATACAGTCTTTGAGTTATTTCACACTTAGCTTTAAAAGGGATGAAACCCTAGATAACAGTTAGAAATAGAAGCACTCAGAATGTCCCATGTTCCCTCCAGTTCATCCACCAAACCCCTACATATTTCCCATGCTCTTTGCCCCCTCTTCTTTGATGGAGGATGTGCTGTTCTTGCCCTCTTCCAGCCCCTCTGTCCACTACCACACCAGCTCCCATCTCCTCTCATCTGCTGAGGTCACTGGCTCCAGCATTTGTCCTCTCTGCCTTCTGCATCAGCATGTTCCCTCTCTACCAGAACATGGCCATCAGCCATGGTGCAGTGTCTGCCATTTTATGAAAACGCTTCCTTGGTCCTGCATTCCTCTCTAGCTATCATCCCATTTCTCTTTTCCACTTTACAGCAGAGCTCCTCAAGTCTTCTACACTTGCTATTTCAAATTCCTCTCTTCCCATTCTCTCTTAAACCCACTCCAATCAGACATTCACCCTACCACTTTACCAAAGCTGCTCTTATTAAGGTGACCAGTGACCTTCATATTGCAAATCCAGTCATCAGTTCTCAGTCTTCACCTCTGATCCATCATTACTGTTCGGCACAGCTTAACCAATCCTTTCTTGAAAGGCTTTCTTCAGTTGACTTATAGTTCTTACTTGCTCGTAGTCTTCCTCTTACCTCACTCACCTGCTGGTTCTTTCTGTCTCCTTTGCTGATTCCTCCTGATGGCCCCATTTCCAAATGTTGGAATGCCCCTGGGCTAAGCCTCCAGGCTGCTTCTCCATCTACACTCCCTCTTTAAGGATCTCATCCAGTCTTATGGCTTTAATCACCATCTGTATGCTGATGAGTCCCACATTTATATACCTTTAGCTCAGACCTCTCCACTTAACTCTGGACTCATATATCCAATTCTGACTACTCAGTATCTCCACTTGGATACCTCAGTGGTATTTCAAACTTAGTATGTTCAAAACAATTCTTGATTTCTACATCTCCCACACTAAAACTGGATCTTCCAGAAGTCTTTCATCTCACCATGTGGCGACTCCCATCTTTCCATTCATTTAGGACAAAAACCTTATGTTGTCCTCGAATCTCTTCTTTTTTTTAGTCTGTTTAGATTCTGCAGTTCTGCTTTCAAAATATATCAAAAACCCGATTACTTATTGCCACTTCTACTGGTGTCACACTGGACCATCATCTCTTGCCCCAGTTCAAGAGAGTCAACCCAGCACAGAGGGATCCTTCTAAAACATAAGACAAACCATATCATTCCTCTGCAAAAACCTCCAGTGACTTTACGTTTCACAAAAAGTAAAAGCCAAAGCCCTCCTGGAGTTTACCTCTCTAGGCTCATTTCCTACTACTCTCTGTTAGTCACACTGGCCTCCTTGCTGTTCCTCAAGTATGTGCTTACCTTATGGTCATTGTGCTTGCATTTGCCTCTGCCTGGAGCATCTCCCGCCCCAGATATCCACATGTCTGCTTTCTCACTTCCATCAGGTGTCAGCCCATGAGGCCTTCCCACATTGTCCTGCATCTGTCCTGACCCTCTCACCCTGCTTTGTTCTTCATAGTACTGGTCACCACTCCCCCACAGTAGAGAACGCTCCATAAGGGCAGGAGAGCTGGCTGATTATTGCTGCATAGCCATTACCCATAGTCATGTCTGGGGCATGCAAGATGCTGAATGGAGATTTGTTAAAATAACAAGTAGTTTTACAGGTGTGCTCTCAGACTTGAGCTGTACACTGACCTGCTTCTGTACCCAGTTTATACACTCTGTCACTCATGAGGGTGGCTAACTCAGAATCTCAGAGACTGTTTGCCAGGGAAGCTAAGAGAATGGGATGCTGACAGTCTGTCTTTGACTCAGGAGAGATGGTGGTTGGGGTCGGCCCTGGATTTGGTGGGGTGAAGAAGAAGCTATTGCGTGGCCTCCCCCCCCATCCTGCCAGAGTGAGCTGAAGTGCCCTCAGAGATGTCAGGGTAGGGTGGCTTAGCTGGGCTGACCTTCTCCCAGAGAGTGCATACCCTCTTGCTTGATTTTGCCCCATTGGACTCCCATAGGTGAAACTGGTGCAGCATACCTATTCCTGCCTCTTTGGAACATTCCTGTGCAACAACGCCAAGGAGAGAGGGGAAAAGCATACTCAAGAGCGGACATGTTCTGTGTGGTCGCTTCTTCGGGCAGGCAACAGGGCTTTCAAAAACCTACTGTATTCCTCTCAGTCAGAAGCCGTATGTATCCATCAGCCTTTCCTCTGTGATCAGAAGGAATTTGGGGGTGGGAGACATATGGGAGCCTTTTTGAGCAGTGACTGTTTTTGTGAATTCATCTCTGCTGTCTGGATGGATTGGTTCCAATTTTCCCCTACCATTCTATCCTTATGAAGGCCTGCTTCCTGATGATACTCTGATCACTCTTTGCTTAGTGTGGTTTGGTTTAATACATGTCTCTACTCTGCCACCCTAGACATGAATCTTTTCTGGCACCTCCTCCAGAGCTTAACTTATTCCTACCATGTTTTATCTAATGAGTGGAAGAGACACTTAAGTTGTTTCCTGGGTGCCACTAATAGCTCAGAAGGAGTTCCACCAGGTCCCCAAGACCCTCCCCATGTCATTGTGTGATGATGTCCACTACAGCTTTTGTCTCAGAGATCAGAAACCTATCTGATGTTGGCATGTATGTCTGTGTGCTTCTCTGCTCACATGGAGAGCTGGCAGGCCCATTAAGACTTTGTTCCCCAAAGGAATACTGTTAAGCAGAGAAAAGGAGGTGTATACATCTATGTGTCAGTACATGGTAATGTTCCCTTTGTCAGAATGCATCTTAAAGCTTAAAGAAGTTAAAAGGAGGCTGGTCAGAGGTTATAGTGCTTTGCTGGACCATTAATATGCTTCTCATTGCATTTAAGTAGTCAGAGAAAGGACTTAAACTGTTTCTCTCTCTCCTTCACTGTTCCTGCTGGGGAAATAACACAGGAAGAAAATCCCTCCTTTTCTCATGATTAATGTAAATGATCCTATAAAAGAAAAGAGAACTCTCCCTGGCGCTCATGCCAGCTTCTCTGGGATTGGTGGCCTGCACTGGATGCCTCCTGGCAACCATACTGTGAAACAGGGTTGCCAGTGTCTGCTGAAGCCAAGCTTTTTGTACCGGGGAAACAGACCATCTAACAGAATGACTCACATTCTAATGCGGTAAAAGCACCAAATCAAGCTGATGAAGGTCGATCATTCAGTAAAGGTGACCTGATAAATAAGTAATGAAAAAATGGGTCTTTAAAAAGTCCTTCAGATTTTCATGTCCACATGAGGCTTTCAGGTGAAAAATACTGCCAAACAAAATCTCTAGTCCTGAATTAGTCCTCTTAGGAGGCAGACCTGCATCCACTGGTGCTGCCTCCCTGTGGAGCTCATGCCAGCCCTGTTGCGAGTTCCAGCTGGATGCTTGTTCTTGATTTTCATTTCTAGACATTTCTAAAATACTATTGGGACAAGTTTAAACCTTTGTCCTAACCCCTCTCCACAGGTGCTGTACCCTGTGTGCCATGTGCGTAACCTGATGTTATGGAGTGCAGTGTACCTGCCTTGCCCGTCCCCATCTACTCCTGTGGATGACAGCTGTGCTCCATACCCAGTGCCGGGCACCAGCCCTGATGATCCCCCAATGAGCCGGTAAGCCCAGGGGTGATGCCACAGGCCTCAAGTCTTGTGTGGGTGTATTCCTGTGTTGGGACGTGCCCAGGGATGGTCTGAGATCCTGATGTCTTCTAGCTTCACAACATCTTTTTTAGATCTCTGAAGTTTTCTCTGGGAAGGTATAAGGATTTCTGGGCTATGAGGCTGGTAAGAGCCTTGTTTCCAGAAGTGAGTTGGGCCCTGTTGCTCCATCGTTCTGCTGCATGTGCTGTACAGTTCCTGTGATGGAGCAAATCCTCTGGGTTCTTTGTGACTCCTGGTTTGTGTTTCACCCCTGCTCCATGCTCCTGCCTCCCTGCCATGATTTGTCTTCTGAGTCTTGAAAGGTAGATGTTGTCAGATGGTAGAAAATTTGGCTTTGCCACTTGTGAATTAGCTTTATTAAATTCAGACTGATCTATAATAAATTAATTCAAAATATTGTAATATAAAAAAATCAGCAATGCTGCTTTGTTACCAGCTGAGAAATACAGCAGCATCATGAAGAACATCTTTTTAAAATAGCATTTGCTGTTAGCTTATTTATATGTATGGGGCATGGGATGGGGGTGGTGTGAGAGGAAATCGGCAGACTAGAATTTGGTTCATCTCTCATATGAGAGATTTGCTGCTTCAGCAGTCTGGGCCTCACTTCAGAGATGCCACAGCTCCTCAAGTAGCTCTGATGGACCCAATTATGAAACAACTGCTTGTCAAATCTGTTGTCTCATACGTCCCTCTGAATAACCGCACAAATTCTCATTTACCCCAAACTCCTTTCTTTCAGGCTACCAAAGACTAGATCATTTGACAATCTGACCACAACTTGTGACAACACAGTTCCTCTGGCCAGCAGGCGCAGCAGCGACCCCAGCCTGAATGAGAAGTGGCAGGAGCACCGGCGCTCGCTAGAACTGAGTAGCCTTGCTGGCCCTGGAGAGGAGCCTCTTGCTGCTGACAGCCCGGGGAAGCCCACCAAAGTGCTGGCGGGTGCCGAGTTGTCTGTTGCAGCTGGAGTGGCTGAGGGGCAGATGGAGAACATTTTGCAAGAGGCCACCAAAGAGGAGAGTGGGGTAGAGGAGCCTGCCCACAGGGCGGGCATTGAGATGCTAGAGGTCAAAGAGGAGGTGCTCTCAGAAAAGGAGAGCAGGAGGAGGATGCCTGAGGGCTCAGCCATTGTACTTTACCATGAACCAGAGCTGGAAGATGCTGCTCTGAGGAGCCATCCAGGCACCAGCCTGTCTCTGTTCTCACAGGGAATTCCTGAACAGCAGGCTGGGTATAGTGTTCTCAGTTCTCTCCAGGCTGCCCCCAGGGGAGAAGATTCCCAGGAGGTCTCTGTGGAGCAGCATCAGATAGGAGAGATCACAGAGGATAGGGAGGAAGCAGTTCTCCCAATCCCAGTAGATGCGAAAGTTGGTTATGGTACCTCACAGTCAAGCTCTCTGCTACCTTCCCAAGTCCCATTTGAGACCAGAGGACCAAACGTGGACAGTTCCATGGACGTGTTAATGGAAGACAAGGTGAAGTCGGAAAGTGGGCTTCAAGTCCATCATAGACCTTGCCTGGTAAACAGTGGCAGGTTCAGTGGCAAGGACATGCTTCCCCAAGCCATGGAGCTCAGGCCTTTGGAGAGGAGCCTGGTTGAGAGGCCCCAAGTAGAGTCTGTGGTGCACAGGACTTCCCCTGACAGCACTCTCAGCCTGGCACATTCCCCCTGTGCCTTGCCTTTAGCTGAATGTAAAGAGGGGCTTGTGTGCAATGGTGCCCCAGAGACTGAAAACAAGGTGTCAGAGCAGCCCCCAGGGCTTAGCATCCTCCAGAAGTACCCCACACCCAATGGGCATTGCGCCAATGGGGAGGCTGGTAGGAGCACGGACTCACTGAGCCGCCAGTTGTCTGCTACAAGCTGTAGCTCTGCCCACTTACACTCGAGAAACGTGCACCACAAGTGGCTGCACAGCCACTCAGGGAGGCCATCCACAACCAGCAGCCCGGACCAGCCTTCCCGCAGCCACCTGGACGATGATGGCATGCCTGTGTACACGGACACGATCCAACAGCGCCTGCGACAGATTGAGTCAGGCCACCAGCAGGAAGTGGAGACCTTGAAGAAACAAGTCCAGGAGCTGAAGAGTCGCTTGGAGAGCCAGTACCTGACCAGCTCCCTACGCTTCAATGGGGACTTTGGGGATGAAGTGGTGAGTGGCTCCTTTGTAGCTGCCCGAGGAGACAGGGCATACTGAGGCACCCTTTGTGCCCCAGTGCAAGGTGATTGGTACAGATTTCTAAAAGGATTGGAAAGGTCCAGAGTAGCTCTATTGAGAGATCAGCTTCAGCCACAAAAATGGCAGTCTTCCTCTCTTCTTTTCTGTTTTGCTTACTTTCCATAGACGTCCTGTTTAGGCAGTTAGAGAAAAGAAAAGAGTTAGCGTACTCTACACAGTTGATCACATTTCTTCAGGAGAGGAGCATGTGTTTTCAGAAGGACTTGAACACCTGGGTGGAATGACATTTGTAGGGCAATGCCAAGTATTCCTGTCCTCCCTTACTAGCTAATAAACTATTATTAGTCCTCCCAGACATGGGCTGTAGCTGTGAAGGTTTTGTTCTTTTTAAACAAATATTTGTACCCACCCTATGGCAGGTGCCAGCAGTAGAAATGGAGAGAAGGGATTGGTTGCCAGCATTGTTGAGGAGTTAGCACTGATAGGGCTTGGTGGCCAGAAAGTGGGGTACCAGAGTAGGGGTTCTCAGACATGCTTTTCTCTGGGCTGGTCTGACTCAGCACGTTCAAGTATAAGTGTGAGCCAGGCTCTGAAGTGGTCAGCGTACATTAAAGGCGGGCACATCCAATGACTTTCAATTCAGAATGACTTCTTGGCTTTCTTTCATGGTAATGATGGTTTCTCATGTTCACAAAGAGTTCAGAGAAAGGAGGGCATACCCAGAGGACTCAGTTTTAACTAAGTGGCAAGGTTGGATTGATAGGCCCACTGGAGCAGCTGACACTCTGAGTTCCCACTCCATCCTGGTTACTTCTCTCCCACTCACTTCCTGGAACTCCAGGGTCCATCTTTGCATTCCAGTTACTGCATGCAACATGTGGATCCCTCTTCCAGCTGAGCCTAGCCCCATCTCTGCTCCTGTTAACCTCATTCTTGATGGCTGGTGCATCTGCAGATAAGGCAGTCCTAACACCCAGACCCACCCATAGTCCCCTAGTGCTCCTTTCTTTACCAAGCCCTTTCTTCTTTTGGGAGGAGACCAGGTTCATTCTGTTCAGCTGTGTTTGTTTGCCAACAGACTTCAATCCCTGACTCGGAAAGCAATCTGGATCAGAACTGTTTGTCTCGCTGCAGCACAGAGATTTTCTCTGAAGCCAGCTGGGAGCAGGTGGATAAACAGGACACGGAGGTACAGGCTCAGCCCCTGCTCTGAGTGCCATCCATGGAACTGTTTTGCAGTTCTTCTCCACCCCCATCCTTACCCCATGTCTCTGGCCAAGGAAGAACCTCAAAGCACAGTTAGCCTTGAGCCTCTGGCATCTCAGCTCCTGTGAACCTACTTCAAGCCTAGAATTTCTGAGGCAGGGAGACTCAACGATCTGGCCCTCTCTCTTCATTGCCTCTGTGAACTGGAGCCTTGCCAGCTCATACAGCGACCCAGGGTGCTGCTGCCTGCCACTTTATCTCAGGCGAGATTGGAGTTCCCTCCAGGGGAACAATTTCGATGCCTTTCTTGTACTGTTGACATCAGACCTGCTGGGCTGGTGCCACCAGAGCCGATGTGGTCCTTGTGACTCTTGCTGCCCCCAGCGTGGCTCTGCTGACTCCAGCTAGGTGGCCCATCTCCTGTCACTAACCTGGCCCCATCTGTTTTGCAGATGACCCGTTGGCTCCCTGACCACCTGGCTGCCCACTGCTACGCGTGCGACAGTGCCTTCTGGCTCGCCAGCAGGAAGCACCACTGCAGGTGCCCTGGGGGGTGTGGTAGGGTGGGCTGACGTGTGGAGGCAGAGGTTTGGCCCATAGAGCCTGCAGAGTAGAGAGCTGTGGACATCTGGCTGTGGCAGTATTCTGTCTGAGGCAGACCCAGGGGTCTCATCATCTGTGCTTCTGAAATTGGTGTTTGCAGAACTGCATTTGGTATCTTTGTTCCAATTTGGTGATCATTATTAAATTTTGAAATGTGCAAATGATAGCCTTTTTTGTTTTGTTTCCCAGATTGATGGAGCAACAGCCACCACTCAAACTATCATTTCTTATTCCCAGTATTAAATTTCTTCCCATTCAACATGGCTGTGAACAAAAAAAGTTTTCTTGCTATGAGCAGGGAACTTCATTTTCCTACTCCTTCCCTGTTTCCTCACCCCAAACTCATTTTCTCTTGTGCCTTTGGTGGGCAGCTCTAGCCAGGGGGAGTAGTAGGGACAGCTGAAATGACTTCTTGGCTTTTCCTTCATACTAATAATGGTTTCTCACATTCCCAAAGAGTACTTCAGAGAAAGGAGGGCATGACTTAAAGCACTCAGTTTTAAATAAGTGGAAGGATTGGATTGATATTTCCTATTCCAAGAAGTCATATTCTTAAGGCTTCAGACTTCTTTCTACTTCTAGGTTGGAGTAGGAGTTACTAGGGATGCTTTGCCCCAGCTGGGGTGGTGACTGTCTGGTGGATGTTCAGTCTTCTTGGGATAGGAAGTTCATCTGAGTTGTGCCATGGCTCACTCACACAAGTGAACCTGGATTGAAAATGGAACAACCTCTTTGTCTAGTCATGATGCTTCTAGGACCATGTATCTCCCCACCCTGCACCCCAAACCCAAATCTCTTTGGTTGGCTTCTCTCTGAGCTCTTTCTCCCCTCCTTGCAGGGACATTGACCGTGTTGATCAAACGTGGTGAGCATTTGCAACAACCTGTCTGTGATGTCTGCACATCTACAATAACTTCTCCACACTAATGCTGTCATTCCCCCCTCTCTGCACTCATAGGGGTGAAGCCTGGGGCTGGGGAGCACAGGCAGGCAGGTGGGCTTGGGGTGATCCAAAGCTGCTAACTGAGGAAACCACGGAGGACAAGTCAGGCTGCAGCCATGTGCTCCCTTTCTAACCACACAGGTCAACTGGGCCATCTTGCTTGTGACAAGAATCAGTGCTTCAGCAGGGGCTGGCCTCATGGGGGAGCTATTTCTTTTGAGTCATTCATGGAGATGCCAGAATGATGCTAGTAACTTCCAAGTCATACAGCATCACTGCCCTCCCTCCCTTATTTTTTAAGGAGACCAGGATGAACAGAGGTGATCTTTCCAGAGATTTGTTTTAGCATGGAAGACTTTAAGGGAAGACTCCACTTAGAGTCTTTCACAGTCCCCTGAAAGAAGTCAGTCAGAAAGCTTAACTGATAAAATTCATGTCAAGCTTTTGAGCTGAACTCCCAGCAGATATGTTAAATAAATGTAGACGATCAGAAGCTTTTGTATGTAACCACAGGTTCTTGCTGATTCATGCTTTTTAGAAACAAAGTTATGAAGTACTTAATACCTTCTAGAAGATGGAATTCTATGTGTTTGTTTTAGTTCTCTGTCCTTTCATTGCCCTGTGTCCCATCTTTTCCTTTTGTGCTATTCTTTTATCCCCAGTGGTCTTCAGTATTCTTTCCTCCTGTGCTTAAGTGATCCTTCATCCAGCAGTGGGTTTGCATTCTGAGGAGTGTAAATGAAAAGTTAGTGAGTGATGCTGGCTAAGAGGAGGGTTTCCCTTTAGCTGCCTTCCCCTAGTCATTGGTGGGCTGTGTCAGGCTCCTTGGAGCTTCCTGTTCTTGCATAGATGCATCAAATCTGGGCTTTCAGTGGAGGAGGAGAAGGAGGCCTGGGGCCTGGGTGTATTAGGCTTTGGGTAGTGCTCTGATTTTCCCTGGAGATGCATGGGGCAGGGGAGTGAGCCATAATTGACTGACACCTATCTAATAAGGGTGTGAGTGTGCATGTATGTTCACCTGTGTTCTTGTCCTTCCACCTCTTCTCCTTTACTCCTTCAGCATGCGTCCCAGGCTGCTTGTCTCCTGGCTTTGCATGCTGCCAGCAGAGCAGTCCTAGGTGGCAGCTGTCTACCTTGCATGTTGCTACCTCTAAGCCTCTGGGGAAGTGGCCCTTGGGCAAGGCCCCTTACTCCAGCTGGGCTAAGTAGTTGTTTCTCTCAGCTGAGAGGCCCAAAGGCAGCTCCATTTGACTCTGGGCTCTCAGTGATCACAAGCTATACAGAGACCACTGCCCAGGTGGGTGTGGCCTGTTTTCCTGGGTCATGATTACCCATTGAGCTAGCAGTTGCTTCTGCCCTGGGCCCGTTTGTTCTCACAGATCTCTCTTGAGTAGCATCTTATACATGGTAACCTGGAGCCATAGTGGTGAGGCAGCCAAGTAGCCTTGCCCCAAAGTGAAAGTGGTATGTGACTTTGCAAGGCAGGGATGCCCTCCCTTCTCAGCTTGTTCTTGGGCTAGGGAAATGAAAGTATTTGATATTAGAGGAATCCCCAGTACATCCACATTACACACAGCAGAGTTCTGTCTTCTGAAGTTGGTTTCCCTACCGCATACCTACTAGCCAAAATTAATACTGTTTTGTCTCTTTTTCTCATCTCAAGGAATTGTGGGAACGTATTCTGCTCCAGTTGTTGTAACCAGAAGGTTCCAGTTCCCAGCCAGCAGCTCTTTGAACCCAGTCGAGTGTGCAAGTCTTGCTATAGCAGTCTACATCCCACAAGCTCCAGCATTGACCTTGAACTGGATAAGCCCATTGCTGCCACTTCAAACTGAAGCCCAGTGACCTGGGGTGGGCAGAGGCCAAGCTGCTGTTCTTCTGACAGGTTCACAAAGCTTGGGCAGACCGAGAGGCCCTGCACTTTGGAATGGGGTCATGAAACCACCTATACAGAGTGACAGAAGTTTGGGATGTACCACTGGATTGTAGATTGATTCTCCTCACCCCCCATCCCCAATCCTCCCTCTGCCTTCAAAAAAGAACAAAGTCCTCTGGTTGTCTTAAAAAAAATTTTTTTTTTTTGATGGAAGACCAGAGGTTGCCAGCCCCCTTGTAACTGCCAAGCTGCCTGCTGTCAGGTGACGCTGAGGGATGTCTTGGTTCTTCCAGGTGGGAGGAGGTTGGTCAGAGCCAGGAGTGGAGGCCTGAGACAGTGAGCAGGGAAGAAAGCCAGTGCTAACACTTGTGACTATTCCTCATGCCACCACGTCAGAGCTGGTTGGGAAATCTTTGCTGTTGGGGAGGCTGGAAGCATCTTCCCCAAAAGCACTGCTCCTTCCTGAGAAGAGCTGAGTCAGTCCCACCTCACAGACAGATAAATGGGATTGGCATTTGGAGGGAGAGGTACACAGTAAATGGAACCCCCCCAGGAAGGAAGGCATATGCTCCTTTGAGGCAGGTGAGAGGGGCTGGGAGTGGGTGGCCAGCATGTTGTTCCCCTTGGGATTCTGTTTTTAACTTGACCCAGATTGTCTAAGTCTCCCTTCACTTTAAGGGGGCTGCCTCCCTGGGCCAGGCTGTGTAGTGCTTCCCACCCTCAGGCATAAGAGTGCACACCAGCCAAAAGACAGTGTCTTGCTGCTGTGGCCAATGCCAAAGCCTGCCCTGAGCCCAGGCATACCTGGGAGCCCTTTCTAGGGCCTGGTCTCCCCAACAGTCTCTCTGCCTTGGCCAGCACAGGGAAATCCAGACTCAGGGTTCCAAAAATTCCCTATTCCCAAACCAAACAAATCATGGATCTCACCCTTAAGGGGTACAATCAGCCTTTCTCCTCCTTCCCTTCTTGGGGCAGCAGGAAGGGCCCAACAAGTCCCCCTGCCCTGCTCCTGGCTGACTGGGCTCATGTCTGGCTGCTGGCCAGCAGTGAAGGGCCACTTGGTGACTGCAGGGTTCCTTAGAGGAGTGACATGGCCTAGAGGAGATTTGGGGCACCTTCCCTCAGTGAACTTTGTGGTCCAAAAAGAGCCTTAAATCAAGAATATCTGTGGTGATGGTAGGTGTGGGTAAGGGTGGAGAGGAGTTTAGGTTCGTGTTTTGTAATCTTGGCATCCATGTTTTGTGCCTGCCCTCCTTCGGGAAGGGTCCTGCTTGGCTCTGCTGAAAGCTGCTAACTGGTGACAGGGTGGATCATGGTGAGGCGTGGGGGTGAGGTCAGGGACCCCCTTAAGTTCTGATCCTGCCCTGTGCTCCCCTTCCCCATTGGAAGTGGTTCCCTGGCCAAGGGCAAGTTGTGTCTCAGGAAGGTGGCTCCTGTGTGTGCCTGAGTGTGGTTAAGGCGTGGCCCAGAAGCCTTCTCTGGTGCTGTCCAGGCAAAGCCCAGAGCATCTGAGCGCGTCTCGTTCAGCGGCAGCAGGTTGCTCAGAATTTGCGTTTAGTGAAACAGGGTGTAGTTCTTTTCCACACACCGTGTGGTCTGGTCGTGCAGGTAGGGAAAAGTTGGTCTATTTGAAGATTGTTCAGTTCCTAGTGACAGGTGCCAAGAGGTTCTGATACGGGTTTCTTGGGTCTGATGTACAGTGTGAATAAATGCTTGCAGCTCTTAGCCCTTTTTTGATCAGTGAAGCACTTTTTTATTAAGATTTTTCTTTGTATGTAAAGGAGGAACCGTAACTCTCCGTAGCTGTACATATAATCCTTTTCTCTTAAAGAGGAGTCAAGTCAGTGCTCCTATATTTTTCATTTTTTGTCAAAACAAGAAGTAAATACTTTAGATTGTTAAATATATAAATAAAGTGAATAAAGTTGAGTGATCTGCATGGTAGCGTTTGCTAACACATTCTCATTCTTTGCCCTGTGGTTTATTTCCTCTTTATCCCTTTTCCCTCTTGCATGGGAGAAGTGGTTTGAGGTGCTGCTGGGAAGCTGACCTTTGGCAAGTGAAAACTACAGATTTCTTTTTGACTCTAGCCCTTGGCAAGGAGCCTCACCATGATGCCCAAGAACTAAAAAAAATTTCCTTAATGATTTTGCCCTAAGATCTCCCATGCTAAAAAAGAGCAAAGCAATCAGGCATTTTAACAATCAGCTGTTCTTCCTCATCTGAAGAGTTGTGCATCAGTAGTAATTAAGACTACCTCTGGCCTCTAGGCTCCTTTTTTTCTGCTGACTTCAGGGCAGCCAGTGCTTTGTCCCTTTCATTCTACCTGGGGAGCTGCAGCTGCATGCACAGCGCAGTTAGGAACAGAGCCCTGCCTGTAGTGGGGAGCAGAAGGAGGTTGGGAGAGTAGGGGACGGTTAGAAAATTCTTCTGCCTGTCGTTCCTGGATGATAAAGTATGGGTAAGCACAGACAGCTGGTTGTGATTGGATTTTGTGCCCAAGTAGCGGTCTCCTTTCCCTCCCTCCACACAGGCAGGAACCTGTGCTACTTAGATCTTTGACTTCTGCTTCCAACTGAGCGAGGCCGTGGCATCTAGCCACCTTTGGACTAGTTCTTGCTCTTCACAGGGGTTTGTGGATGAGATGTGTTATGCAGTTCTTCCCTCAGGAAGGTTGGTGTCGAGTGGCACCTTGCTGTGGAGTTGCAAGCCCAGCATCCATGGTGAGTTGGTTGGGCTCTAAAGAAAGACCTGCCCAGAGCCCCTCTAAAAGCTTAACTCTTTGCAGCAGTCTCTCAAGGGTCACTTTCTGGATGTACTGTCTACCTAAAGTACACAGGCACTTAAAAACAGCTCAGCTAGTTCCAGTCTGAAAGCTGTGAGTGCTATCCAGCAGGTATTTGAGAATAAGCTTGTCCTCTGGGAGGAGAATGCCACCTCAGCTGCCTTCAGTCTACCTGGGAGCCCAGTTTGTGTGTTCAGACTAAGTTGTGAAAAACCTGAGTGTGTGTCATAGCCACTGTGTGTTTACATGTAGCCACTATTGTTCCTGAGGTTCAGTGGTTTAGCCCTCAGCAAGTTAAAACAATCAGGGGCCCATAAATGGAGAGCTACTGGGGGTAGGAAGATAAAGAGCTAGGATGCTGGTGAGCCCTGCACAGTGTGAATGGAAGGCAAGGAGTTGCCCTGTGGGAGATGGCTACACATGGAGAAAGCAGTTCTCCTGGGCAAGGCCAGCTTTCTGCAGGCTGTCATGTGGGGAAATTTGGTCTAAAGCAAAGGGGTACTAACAGTAACCTTGAGCTGCCAGGAATGTCCTCTTCATCGCTGGACTTTCTTACCCTGGTCCTCTCACAATACCTCCCTTCTTTCATACTTTGGCCGCCTTCACCCCAGTCTCAAAAAAATGGTATGGCCGCCTTAATCCATGGCGATTTTCTAGTGATGACGTACAGAAAAATTTTTTTCTAGTGATTATGCTAATATGCTCAGTTACTTTCCATGTTAGCAAAGAATATTCTAAGAATTAAAAAGGTACTGTGATAGATCTAAAGGAGAATTAACAAAATGGTGCCAGAGGATCTCTGGCTATTAAAAAATATCAAAATGGGAATTGAAGGTATAAGATTATGGGCTATTATCCTTGAGATAGCTGATAATACTTGGCTGCTTGCACATGAGGCTAGGAGATCCCATTCCTATTGAAGTTAACTCTAGCCCTGACCTCTACTGATCTTTTGAGTATGAGAGCTGATTTGAAGGTGCGTTGCAGGATTTCATTTAGCTGGTGCCTGATCAAGTGACCTATCCTCAGGGCTGCAGCTGTACCCACCTGATTGCATTAGCTGAGGATAGGGCTAACAGCAGAGTTAAAAATGAACCATGGGCTGTGGAGCAAAATGACTCTTGGAGTTTTGGAAAATGTGGCAGAATTCTCAGCTGTTTAATTTTTAGTCACATTTTCAAGGAGGTTGTGGTGAGTCAAAGTTATAGGATTTCCCAAGGGCAGGACCAGAATGTTTGAAAGGCTTCTAGTTAGGAGTAGGAGGTGACCCTTCTAAGCCTCTGACACTTAAACACAAGTCCTGCTGTCCCCACACATGAATGAAGCCTTGTTCCTCGTGGCTGGTGTAGAGTTCATCTGCTGCATGTTCTGCACAGATGTCAGTTGCCTCCTGCTCGAACAGGCCTATGCTAGGCTAGGCAGGTGTTCAGAGGCACGAGAAGCAGGGGCAGGGGCATCATCTGAAATGGGAATTACAGAGTTTTAAATGCTGCTATTTGATTTACCATTTAAGGTCTTTTCTATTCAAGTTCTTAGTCAACTTTTTTTACAGTGCTCATAGAGTTGCATTTGAATTGTATTTTCAATGAAATTTGTTTTACAGTGGCATTTAAAATTGGCCTTTAACTGCTTCCCAACTGGTTTATAAGATGTTTTTAAAAAATGAAAACATAACCCGTGAGGCTCAGATGCTGTTTAAGAAATGTACCGTGTGTTGCTGCTGACAGTAGTGCTTGCCTATTGTAACAGCATTGGTTCTGCTGTAGCCTCAGTGACCATCTAAACTGAATAAATGTGTCATTTTTATCCACAAACAGTTGTTCAGCCCCTGGATTTGGGTTGCCACTGTGGTCCTCCAGTCACTGCTGTGATGCAGTGTCTTAGGTGCGAGGGATGAATCAGGAGCTCAGCCCCTTAGTCCAGATAGAAGGGTTCAGCAAGCGGGGGATGGTCGGGGTCAGCATTTGTCTCCCAGAGGCGGGGTACATGAAATCCTAATGTTTGGAGGTGAGAGAGACCTTAGATGATCATCTTCCACTGTTTTCATACTGTTCTGTGAGACCATTGTGGGGAGAGAGCAAAAAACTCAAAGCTTTATTAGACTTCAAGTAAGACCTGATCTGAGGAAAGGTTTAGGTGCTTAAAATAAAAGCCTGAAAACCATAGTTGAATCCAACCTCCTCCTTTTTCATTGAGGGAACAGGCTCAGGAAGGGGCAAAGACTCATCCAGATTACCCAATGAGTTAACAGCAAAATTTGAATTAAAACAATCTCTCCTGGCCCCCTCCCCCTCATGTGCTCTTGGGTGTCCATGGGACAGCCTTTATAAATAGCTAATTTAACCTGATTCTCTTTGAGTTAGCCAAGCCAGAAATCATGGAGAGGAGCTTAGTGGTTGCTACCAAAAAGTTCAAATTATGAGCCCTCCTCTCCCTCCTAACCAAAATCAAAAGGTGTGATAGTATAATCTTTTTTTTTTTTTTTAAACCTTTCACGTGATATTAGCATGAATCATCTAAGTTCATGTCATTGGGGTGGGGGGCAGGAGCACTTTTGAATAATGCAGTTTGGTTAGTTGTGAACTGCCTCAGCGTCCAGTTTATTTCTGAGTTTTGTTTTGGCTGTACGATATGGAGGAAAAAATCACGATTTTACATTGATAAGTGGTTGCAAATAGTATTAGTCACACCTTGCACACCATAGCTGGTAACTGACAAAACTGAAGTAGATGCTTGGAAAAAAAGGATTATAAGAATATCCAATACCTGTTCTTATTCTCCATATATCAGGTAAGAAACACCCAAAGGTGATAAAAAGTTACTCTGTGGTGAGAGCCACTAGGATTGGGCTGCATCTGGGCTTAACTGCACCAGGCCAGCCCCCTCCCAATCAGCGACCCCTGTGAAGGTCATGCACACACAGCAGTGGAGACTTTAATTGGGAGGTCTCAGGCAGCCACAGCTAACATGTTTAAAACCTTTAGTGTATGTATTAAAGATGGTTTTAATTTAATGTGACATTTGAAACAAATATTTGCAGAGAACCCCTGAAGCACTGCCACAAAAGTCAGTTTGAAAACCCTAGCTTGGTGGAAGGAGCTTGGGTTTCGAAGCCCACAGACCTGGGATGGAATCCCAGCCCTGCAGTGCCAGCTGAGTTGCCCGTGGGCCCATGTGGAACTCTGAGCTGTTTCCTCATCTATAGCAGAGCACTTGGCACATGCTTGTAGGAGGGGTTTGGAGGTGGGTGCTTAGTAATGCTCCCCTCCCCTCCATCCCATGAGATGGGGTGGCATTTCTGTCTGGCTGCCAGCAGATCCAGGTAGCTCTTCTACCATATATTAAAAGTAGACCTTCCACCTTACAGGGGTAAAATTTTGACTTTGAAGCATTCTGATCGAGCTTTGCACTAAAATGCAAAGGTACTAGCTGATGAAAAACTAAAGTTTATATGTATATTTTATTAAAGAATTAAAACTTTTAAACAGATACAGGTCTGCATGTGCACTGATAGTTTAGAATTGTGTAAAGGCAATGGGAAGGGGAGCTGAGAGAAACTGCTTGTTGGGGTTGAGGAGGCATCTCAGAACTCCTGAGTCCTGCCACAGCAGTAATCCTGCAGAGACTGATGTGTCCTCACTTTGCCGAACAACTGAGTTTTAAGTTCCTAACTAAAGACAGAGCCATAAGATGAAGGCTCCAGCTGAGGAGTGGGGAAGGCAGAGCCAGGTGCACCTCACCCCTGGCAGCAGAGATTTCTGAGGCAGAGCCTGGGACCCTGCTGCAGTGCTTTGGTAGGAGTGTCCCTGTAAGAACCCCAGAGCCCAAGGTTGGGAAAGGAAGTGAAGGCCTTGCGTTCAGATAGCCCTCCCTACCATCTCCAATGCCAAAGGAGCTCAAGGTTGCTGAACGCATTTAAGGTTGTGTCATCCAAGTTAAAACAGATGTGAGTTAGTGGTCAATGTTTGTACCACAATATTTTGCCAGTTGCAAGATTTTTTTTTTTTCCTTTTTGTCTTTTTTCGTGACCGGCAACGGATTGCAACCCTCAGTGTTGCGCCCGCACCTCGCTCAGCCAGTGAGCGGCCGGTCTGTATGTGGGATCTGAACCCTCAGCAGGAGCGCCTCCGCGCTCCCAAGCGGCGCACTGTAGCAGTGTGCCACCGGGCCGGCCTGCCAG